TAAATATATTAATCAAAATTCTAGTTATCTCAACTAGAATTCTAATAGACATAACCAGAAAATTCTGATTCGTCCATTAAGACATAACCAGAAAATTCTGATTCGTCCATTTTCGATCAAAGTTACTGTTTAATCCAACCAGATAATTTTTCTCAGTATAAACTTGTAATGTAAAGAGACTTACAATCAGCATTAATGCCTAGGAATACTTTTGACGACTGGCGATGTCGAAGCCATGTCGCGATACGAGCATGATAGAATTACCGTTTAATCCAATCAGATAATTTTTCTCAGTATAAACTTGTAATGTAAAGAGACTTACAATGAACATTAATGCCTAGGAATACTTTTGACGACTGGCGATGTCGAAGCCATGTCGCGATACGAGCATGAAAAAAAAGATTAAAACAAAATCGTGTGGGAGAAGGATATTATTTCGTGTAAGGAGGAAATAATAGATAAGTTTGATAATGCCCCACGGACACTATCGCGTTGTTACGTAGTTGCTAAGCGCGTTAAAATGTAAGTAAAACCCGACACGAAGTTATACACTGTACTTTCAAAAAATTGCGTTCGAACTTTGTCTTCACGGAACGAACTTAGGGGTTTTGTAAAAGTTTCGTCGTTAGAGGGACGGTGGTACAATTTTGAAGCGCCCTTCTGTTATCGCGGGCGAGTTATGCGGGATTGCGGGATGAATGCGTCTGCGAGAGCCGCACTAAATCCGATCGTAACGAGCTCCCTACGAGCCGTTTAATTGTTCGGCACTTACTCTAATGAATATTCAAGTTTCGTGGAAGTTCTTCCCGGCTGATCAGTGGCTGATCTCTTCTTCCCAGAAGTAACTGGAGCGAGTTAATTACCATCGCGTTTTAATCTGTGAATTCGGCCTACTGACACAATTCGTAAGCAGTTTATGCTGTAGAAATCTTTCTAAAATTAGATCTTTAGCGATCATGTCTCTCTAATTCATGATTAATATTGCCGTACAATAGTGGAATTTAAAGGTTAACCAATAAAGTTTAATCACCTAGAAACATCAAAGATTTTCTCCGTAACGTATATACATATATCAATATGTATAGTATTACTACTGACTTGTGTAACATTTGCATTATGCATTAAGTATAAATGCGGATGTATTTTCTCTTTATATTACGCTCAACATTTTTTGTCCGCGAAGTCAAGATATTTTATTAAAAAATAATTCTGTTTCATTAAAAATCTGGAGACGCTGGTAATGTCTCGGCGCTAAGCTACGCGCAGCGACACTGCCGTGTGGTTACTTTCTTATTTACTTACCACTACTATCTCAGATTATGACGTCAGAAGTAAGAAAGTACGGTACAAAAATTCTTACAAAAAATATATTAAAATAGAGATATATTTTAATTAAAACGATACTTTCCAAAACAAAAAGATGGTGGACATATTTTATGAGTCTCCAATGATCGTAAATATATTAAAAAAAGATTCTATTTGAATTCATTTTGTGAACATTTTTATTGTATATTTTCTTGCTTTTGACATCACAATCTGACATAATAGTAATAAATGAATAGGAGCTTTAACGTTCCATATTCTATGAATGTTCTTACAACATAATTTCACGATACGTTTGTAGCAATCGTTTATACTATTTTATATACCAATATATGTGTATGCATCTAACTTATAGACATCGTAAATATCGTCATTAGATTTTTTTCAGTGCATAAACAGCAGCTGTTTGCAGACTACTTGTGTATGATCATTGATCAATAAGCATTAGTCATTTGTTTTGCTTCATATTGATAACGTGAAAAATACAATGAGATAGATCTGCACTTTTTTGGAAACATAATTTTGATCCTTTAATGTCTGTAGCTGTTATGCAATTTGCAGAAAACATTTTTATGTTATCAGATAATATTTATCCAATATTTTTTATTGAATATATCGTTATCTCTATGCTGAAGAGTAAATAAATCGGCTATTCCACTAAATGGATTAAATTCATGATGCAGCGCTTTCTTATCAAGTAAAAATTTAAATTGTTATATATTAAACGTTAGATATATTCATCGACATTAATTGGCACGAAGTAACATTTTATTGGATTAGTTTCGCATTCATATATATTTCCTTTAATTAACTTCAAATCTCTCAATTATCCTACAATTGTCGGCTAGGCTAAATTTGGCTAAAACTAATGAAGGAATAGCTTCTTACCTTCGATCACGTGAACCATGACAAACGCCGCTTTGGCGTTGCTAGGTACGCACGTGTAGTTTCCTTCGTGCGTAAGTTTCGTTTTGTTCACCGTCAAAATAGAGCCGCTTGACGTGAGCTTGACATCAACGCCAGGCTCCTCGTCGTAATTTATCATACGACCCTGACGATACCAGAAGACATAAAGGGGCTTTTCCGTGGCCGCCATAAGTTGGCATTCCAAACGGAGGTTCGAACCTTGCTTCACGTGCAGATCAGGTGCACCTGGTATTATCGAGTACGCCTCCGTAATCTTGAGACGGGCGAAGTTTCGCTGTACCGGATGCGACGTCACCTGCAACCGTAATGCAACAATATCTTTAACTTTTCATAGTACATATATGAAAGACACAAATTCGAAAAAGCTGAAACATTCAGATAACAATCGGGAAAATATTAAAACTAAAACAGTTGTTATTATATTTTGTGATAAAAATGGAATAAATTTAATAAATTTAAATATTATACTAGAAGAAATAATCTGTCGTTTCTATTAGCATATAGTAAAAAATATATATTTATAAACCATTTCAATATTTATTAGAAAGAATTCATTCGTTACAAGATAATAGTTATTTAGCAACTTCCTATTGTCAACCTGTAGATTTGCTTGATATAATGAATAAAAATCGTTTTTATATAAATTTATCTTTAAATTATCTAAAATAAATGAATTTATATATAAACATAGTTATACATTAGTTGGAATAATAATATAAATATATTATATGATATACAAAATGATGTTAAGAAATCAGGTTACATCGTAACTTGAGCACTTTCTGCAAAATGGCCAGTTTTAAATTATAACGAGCCATGTTTTATGCTGTAATGTATACTATAAATTGTATTCACATCATCAAAGCAATGTTGATTGTCCTTTAGAGAACCCAACAGGAGCTAAAGCTACGGCTAATCACCGCGACCTGAAACACAGTTTGTAAGCGACCGCTTTGGCATTTCAGCTGACATTTTAGACATGCGAAACCTTTAACAAAGTTCACGTACATTAGAAATTATTCAAATAAGCAGGTATAGCTTGAAACAATCACTCAATTGATACTGAAAATGTAACTCTTTCAATTTCGTATTCTAAAGGAAGCATCACTGTTTAATTATTATATAATATGCAATGAGATCTACCTTATATTTATTATTTAAGTCTGTAATGTGGTAATCGAGTTTTCATTATTATGAAAGCTTGATGATGTGACCTAAATGAAAATAGATATTATCTTACTTATATAGTGATGTATGACCTCTTTCTTTTATTTATATATATATATATATATATATATATATATACATACAGAGCTGAAAAAAAGGAATATAGAATTCATATAATGAAAGATAAAACTGATATACGATAAAGTATGCCAGTTTAACGTGATATCTTAATATTAAATTACAGAATTACGAGTAAAAATATATTAAATAAAAACTGCAATATCACAGTTAGTCTGAAAATTAAAAAAAAATATAGGTGAATAAAACATTCGCTAAATTACCTGACATTCATAGATGCCGGCATCGTCTACCGTTACGGTACGTATTGTGAGTTGCCAGTCGGTGCTCGAGTGTCTGACGACAAATCTCTTGTCAATGGAGTGTGTGCTAGTACCGACAGTTAACAATTGTCTGTCCCTCCGTCTCACCCACGTGATCTATAACAAAAAAACGACAAAAAACAGTTAACATGTGTAACCATTTTTATTTATTATACATAATTTGTACAAGTAACAAATTTTATTTTGAAAATTATTCATTTAATCAGATAAAAACATTAAATGCATGTTTTATACTAAAAAAAAATTGAAATTCAAAAAATTGCAGCTAGAATTCTGTTTAAAAGCAATTGTAGAGTAGCGAGCTTTGCTATGTTCACTAAGGTTTTTTTACTCAGTATAGTGTGCATTATCTATCATGTAAGTGCAGAATGGTTTTTTTAATATATGCCGCATAAAATTAAAATTGTTAATTCTCTTAATATAGAATTAAACCATTTGCAAATGAAAGAAGAAATAATCTTGCTTTTAAATTACTATAGATGTAATTTTGTGAACATTACAGAAGTGCCATTTATCTTTAAACAAGTAATTAGGATTATGGCTGCATGAGTTGGATAATGAAAGTTGTTTATGTGGCATAGTGTTCGAAAGCAGTAGGTTATTTATAGTAACAATATATGTATGAGAAGTAATGTATGTCCTATGAGGCAATGTGACAGAGGAGCCTCGACATATATCGAATATCAATTATCATAGCCATTAGAGTATCCTAATTTCAAGGTAATTTTCGTTCTCCGGGGAACAGACCACAAAACTACGGTCAATATATTGGATAACGGTTACATTGCACAGTATTTAATTATGTAGGCATTTCATCAATCTTTCACCATGTTTAGGTACGATTGAAGAGAATCTATTTATTTAATCGTTTACGTAAATCTGATGTGTTAAATTATTAAAAGATAAAAGAGAACTGATTTGAAAAATTACAAAAATGTTATTAAAATCTTCTTAATCTTAATGCACTTTCTCTTAAATATTGAAAAACTTCTTTCTGAAAATTTTTATAAAGGAAAACAATATATCTTGAGGGAAACTTTTAAATATTTTTTATAATAACGATGAAGAATTTTTCTTTCGTTTGATATTTATTATAGACATACATAAATTTGCTATTATTCTTTATGCACATATTGTTTCATCGTCTGATTCAAATATAGCATGTTACTTTAAAGCATTATATTATATAGCCAATAAACTAAACATATTGGCTTTGTATCACAATTGTCGCAAGATTTGTACGTATATATAAATACTAGTTGTATCAATCCATTATTTTTAAAAAGTATATACAGACTGGGACACCCTGTACACATGAAATAAACATGTTCGAACTTTACATGTACGATATGTAGACTTTCATATTTTGTACAATTGAAAATCCGTTGTTTCGTATTTCATGTTTCGTTTGAATGTTTGTTTATAACTTTATAATTGTATTTCTAGCTTCAAAAATTTTTTGTTATTTCCACTTGTAGATATATTCTCGCAGTTTGACCGTTAAATCCTGAGACTACTTGTATATTTTATATATTTATATTTATTTTATATATTCATATATTTTGTATGAAATATCAAATAGAACATTAAATATTTTAGTTGTGAATGATTGATATACTGAGTATACAGCTCCGGAAGCTCGAGCACTTCCCTGTTTGTTAGGGACATAAATAAGTAATTATGTTTCCTAAATGTAATAACGCGGTTGCCTATTAATCAACAGCAGTAAAATTTAATTATTTCCGATTAGGAGATTCCTCGTTACAAAGCCTCCCTCTGAATTTTGATCAGAGACGTCACGTTACCATGCCAATTATTTTTTATTTACATCCCTCATCGGGACGAAATCCACTATAAATGTCTTAATACTCTCAGAAACATAATTAGGCTGATTCCACGTAATACGTCTCGGAGAAACCAATTTCGAAGGATATGACATTTCTGGTACTGCCAAACCTAGTAATCCAGAGTGCTTGCTGTAATCCTAGGTCCCACGAAAAGGACCTATCTACGGCTCACCGACGTGTAACAGCGAATCCAATGTGACAGGGGTGTGCGTGTGAGAGAAGAACGAGAGAGTGTGTGTACGTGTGTTTGCACGTTGCCAGTCTTTGACTGGTGGGAGTTATCGGGTAGTAGAGTTTGCCTCAATCGGCGCGAAGTTACGAGAACTTCGCGGTGTCTTCGAGCAGCCGGAAAGACAAAGATCCTAAAGCCTTCCGACGTCCGTCTTTCGGTTTCAACTAACTCCAGACACGGTTATACACACGTGTACGGATTGTTAGGCTGAACAATGACCCCGTTTTGCTGTTGAATACGTAGACTTCATATTGCTCAAGATACTTGTGTAGTCAATTAAGAGGTTTCCTAAGAATTAAGAGATCGAAGTAGCCGATTCGCGATGAAGCTTTCGAGCAGTTAATCCACATTACAACATATATTACACATGGAAAATAGCTCGTTCTTAGGGTTACTCCGTAATCCTAACCAGCCGCATACTCTTTTAAAAATACAAGTACTCTGTTTGAGGTCGTAAAACTTCTGGTCTTTAATTAAAATTTTATATTTATAAAATTATATATCAATGGAGATATATACCTACTCGCCAACACGCATGGCAAGCATGGCATTTTAATGCCAAACTCTTTCCTTCCAAAGATGATATAGAATGGAAAAGGTTGGAAGAGGTCGATATCCAGCAGTGGATGAAATCAGGCTATATAGATTTATAAAATTATATTAATAAGAATTGTTAATAAAAATTATATATATGTCCTAGAAATTTTGTTTTTTTAAATACTTACATTTAATACGTACAAAAATTATACCTCTTCCTACTGTTTCATCCTACTAAACATCTGTTTTTAAAAAGTGTACATACATATTCTTTCTTGTGGTTCAGATATGGTAATTCTACTCGTTCTAGATTGCTGACGTCTAAATTATCCAATGAACTACACCCTTTCTAATTATTTTTAAAAACTCAAACGTACGATATTACGGTATATCGACTTTACAAGGGAAACTGTTGAAGTATGTGCGAGCGGCGTGGGCCTATTTGGCTTTCCAGCGAAAAGGGTTAAAAGTTTGTACGAAGCTAGTGGGTGTAGTCCGCCAAAGGATTAAAACCAATTAAAACTTGGAACGAAATGCAAATTGGAGTAGCACGTCCGACCTGCGTCGAGCCTCCTCCGTACTTAATTTCCTCTTACGTCGTCTTGCCTGACTCGATCATCATCATCAGTCTTGTTAGACACGAGTTAGGTAACCGATGGCTCTGGCATTCCCGCGGGAAGCTATTAAGCTGCGACCGTGTGGGGATTGCTGCTAGGTCTAGGTAGAAAAGACTTTGTACAGTGGCAAGTAAATGGCATCTACTTGTGCGGGAGGTGCACACACGTGGCACACAAGTCGAGCTGACACCGCTGTGGGACGCGCAGAAGCTTAATTGGGAAATACTCCGGGTTACAGTATGCCATGCCGACACATTCTTTATCTGTCGGCCGGGAATTGCCACCCGCGATCGGTGACTTGTGCTGGTACATACCAGATATATCTTGCGAGAATGAATGGCATAGAACGCGAGAGGACAGAAGTTGCGTTTAAACCCGCGATATTGCAGAGTTACAGTTAATTGAAGAGCGTAGTAAATAACGAAATATGAAATGAAATAACAATTATAAAAATCGTTATAAGAATTTTTATCGCTTGTTAAAGAAGAGAAATCATTTTTGCAGTGATAAGAATATTTCCATTCGCAATGAGACTCTGCAGCAACGATAGGAAGGAAATTAAAGGCAGCCCGTCCCGTCGCTACTGCACGCTCGCGATCGCTTTCAACTCTTCCTTGATAGCAAGCATCGGGATTGCCGATAAGGAACACCGAAAGTTCATTCGTTTATCAGCCAAACCGTTTTAAAAGTATTCTTGTAATGAGGAAAGTTCCCTCACCTATCCGCCCCGCGCGGGAATCAAGCCAACCACTACACAGCCGCACTATATACGCGTCACAACCCCGGAAACTTAAAGCTACGTAGCGACGGTATTACTCATAGGATTGAAGAAATTGAGATGAAATTCTCTCTCTTGAAATATTAAAGATAATTATTATTTAAGTTATGAAAATTTATATTAAACCTTTCATAGTGATTACTAATACAAATAATATTGTACATTTTCTTCTTTAAAAAATATCGCAATTTAAGAGTAAGAATTCTATATTCGATCGAAGTGGATCTTAATACTTAATATTTTTATGTAAATTTTTTAGATATATTTTTTCAGTTCTATATAAACTGCACACCGATTCGATTTATCAGATTTGGAACGCAATTTTGATGGGGTCATATTTTTTGCAATAAATTCTTTGCAATATTTTAAGACGCTTGGCATTATTCCTGGATTGATGAACAATGTGCTTTGTGATATTATTTTTAGCTTTAGTTTATTTAAGTTTGAAATCTGAATCGGCGCGCACTTTATATAACTGAAAAATGTATTTAAAATATTGACATATAAATATTATTAAGCACCAATATTTCAACCGAGTATAGGAATCTCTATTATTTGTGTTATTTATTTATTAGTCCAATTTTTTAAATATTATTATATGATTGGTTCAAATTTGATATTATCACAATTTAATTTTAACATATCAAACATATAAAAATAATAAAAGAATAAATTGTCGTCTAGAATAAAAATATTTGTAAAATGTATATCTGCGTTTTTAGAACAAGGTATTCAAATAATTTATATCAAGTTTAAGTTATCAAAAATATTTAATATTTTATTCATTATCAAATCATTTATTTTTGTTGATCAACTTTATTTTTATGTGGATATTTGCGGATACGAAGAGAACTTCTTTTACATAATGTATACTAACTGCAGGGTTTCATGGCTTACAGCAATAAAAATCGATTTTCGTCTTGTGAGCTTGAAGTGGCAGTGAGTTTGCGCATTGGTTATAGCTTAACAAGAGTAAACACACTACCGAGGTTTAGTTTGAAAACAATTATAATCGATATGTCGATTTTGACGTATTGAGATGCGTAAATGTGTTAGTCAATTGCTGTACATCGCTCAATCATTGT